GGTTCATGCCCGTTAACATTTACTCCACCTTGGTTCCTCCTTTGTTCCACCCATATCTCCTCCTATCTCAAGCTCTGCCTCTGTTTACTTCATCAGCATGCAATTACCTATGCATTTCCTGTATTTACATTCTTGAGAAAAGCTGCTCGCAGCAATGCGTGTTGCCAAACAGTGCAGTGAACCAACGTGCATGATTCAAGAGATTTGGGAAAGAGGCCATGTAACATATTGAGTAGAAAATGTCAGTAGGTCACGTTCTGCAAAAGCTCTCTTCAAGGCACCGTTATTTGGGATGTCAATTAGTGCCATGTGGAACGTGTCAGGAGTATCGGTGGCATCCGCTCCAAATGGATCTAGAAACAGCTTCAACTCATCGCTGTGTTCCCTGAAATCCGCAAATCTTTGTTTGAATTCATCCAGCAGTCAGCTGTTGACTGGGTTGTGGACTGTAACCATGTTGATCTAAGACCACAGGCAGACAAAGTTGTTTGGGTGGAAGGCGTCATATCTTTTATTAGACCAACTAAATTGATAGCTTAAGACATCACATCCACCCACAGAACCCTGTCTGTCTAGAGTTGAAGGCCCATTCTGTTACAGGGGTAAACACCTATCCCATATTGTATGCTTCGTGTGTCCACAGCTGGCATTTGTAAGGCTATTGTTTCGAGTCCATGCCATGCAGCTCTCATGCTAGAGAGTCTACCTGACACGTACACCTCCTCCCAAATTTTTAAAACCCAAAGTTTCATTTTAAAAAGTCAAGGCTTTCTGTGCTTTGACCAGTGCATAGTTGACAGACATGTTGGACAAGCCTTTGGTCATCAAGGCTAAGGACAAGTTACACATAAACCGGTATAAGTGATTGGAAACTGCTTTCAAAATGGCCCAAACCAGTTTAAGATAAACCTGGATGAATGTAATATCAGACTTAACTCATTTAGGTGAAATTAGTTTACTGAACTTCTGTCACAGTTCCCCTCCAAATTCAAACTCAACCCCTCCTGCACCCCCCTTCCCCCCAGGGTGAGGGGGCCAGCCTTGTGCTGGCTGTCTGCTCCAGCCAGGGAGGGAAACTGCTCTAGCTTCTCCCAGTTTCTGGCCTGAGCACTGCAGGCATATGGCTGCATTTCCAGAATCAAAATGAACGTCTGTTCACTTGCTTATTGGTTCAGTCTAATCTGCGAAGGTTGAATTGATTCAGCCTTGTGGTTTTCAACAGTCTTTTCTTAGCCCAAGTGCCCTTCCTCAGGTCGCGTTTTAAACCTGTCCAGTTTGGCACAGTCTGGGTGAATGCATAGTGACCCTGCCTGGATTTCGCAGAACAGAATTCGGGCTAGGAGGGATCTCCATAGGTGACCTAGTCCAACCCCCTGCCTGAGGCAGAATCATCCTTATCTGAGCCACCCTATGCAGATCCATAATGCTACCTCTTAGTAAAACTACCCCCAACCCTGACACCACACAAGCCTTAAGGCCCTAACCTGCCACAGGTATCACATGGGGAACGTGGCAGCCAATGTCCTGCTTCTGCAAAATGTTGTTAATATTCACTCGAGAGATCTCGGGTAGATCTCCATGCCCCCACAGAGGAAGGCAACCCCCGCAGCCCATACCAATCTGACCATGGGGTCAAATTTCTTTCTGAGCCCAAATACGGAGTCGGTGTAACTGTGACTGGAGGGTCAAGACCCTCTAACCCAGGCTTGTCCAACATACGGCCTGCAGGCCGCTGTGCGGCTCACCAAGACATTTTCTCTGGCCCGAGGTCCTTCACTCGGGACAGGCGAGGAGTCCTGGTGCCTGCTGCGTGCTTCATGGCAGCAGTGGGGCATCGGCGAGGCGGGCAGGGCCAGCCCACAGGCCCCAGCCGGCGGGGAGGGGAGCTGCTAGCCCCCGTGGGGCTGGGCTCATCATGTGAGCCGGGTCCTGCTGCGGCTGCCCCGAGGACTGCATAGCGTGGGGCTGCCCCAGCCTCGCCTGCCGGGACGAGTCGGGGACAGCGCCTGGTACGTCTCCTTTGTCTCTGCCTCTTTGCCCCCAGCATCCAGCTCGCTTTCTGGGACCTGCCCGGCTCAGCAGGAGCAGGGTGCAGCACCTGGCACAGGCAGTCGGCAGGGCAGGGCCGGGGGTCCTCGGCAAGCGGGATCCTGTGACACGTGTCCTGGCTGACTGCCAGATCCCGCGCTCTGGGCACCAGGGGAAGCAGGGAGCTGCAGGTCTAGAGGGAGGAGTACGAGGAGGCATGTAGGGGTGGAAAAGGGGCTGCTGGTTGGGAGTGAGGGCAGCGGCAGAGCTGGGGGGCAGGGGGAAGGGTATGTACCCCTTCCCCCACCAGGGTGTCTGCTTTTTTGCAGTTGCAAAACTCTACCCCTATCCCCACCTTCAAACAAACCTCTTTCCTATTTTCACCCTATCCCTCCCACTCCTTGTGCCTGCCCACCATCCCCCATGAATAGAAATTACATTCCCTTCTGCTCCCCATTCCCACCGGACCCCATCCCTCCCATGCCTGCACCCCAGCCCCCCACAGGTTCCCAGTGTCCCCCAGCCTGATGGTGTTATTTACACCAGTTCCTCGTCTGAAAACTGGTCTGAGTCTGACTCCTCTGAAGAGGCTAGGTAGGTGCCGCCTCTTTTTTTTGGTGTGTGTTAATCAGGCCATTCTCCAAAATGAAATGTGGCTTTCGTCTTAAAATGAAGTCTGCACGGTGTTGGCTGTTCATACCATAGAAGACATTTGCTCCTTGGGGGAAGACTAGCTCTGCAGAAGGAGAAAAGCAAAGAAGCATTGAGTGATTTACTCTGGATAGTAGCACTACAAGCAAAAATTGGGGAGCGTTCAGAGGTGCATGCTGGCTGGACACGTGTCACTTTGAGGTCTAAGTAAGGTTCTTTAATTTGGTTTTTACTAGTTATAACATCCCCTTTCCCACCAGCAAAAGTATGAGAAGATGTTGGACCATCCAAAGTCATGCCCAGGAAGTCTGATAACACCAAACTTACCTGTGCACTACATGAAACAGTTTTGTGGCTCTGAAATCATTGACTACAGACATTAGCATGATGTATACACACAGGGCTGTACATTTAGGATGAAAGGCAATCGTTTGACTTGCTTCCTTAATGCATCATTTCCATGTGTGGTTTTCTACAGCTTGCAAGTGTTGGGTTTTTTATTCAACAAATCGGTCAAGGCAAATTCTTTTCGATTCAGCTGAGACAACCCCTTTACCTCCTCATGCACCAAGAGCAGGGGTTGCACCTTGCCGTTTGGCAGCAGAGAGATTGCTGCTCCCTGAGCTCACAGATACCTGTGTGCTAGCAATGGGAGAAAGCTGTTTTCCAAAAAGGTGCCTGTGTGGGGAGGGGGGACACTGGGACGTTGGGTTGCTGGGTCCCAGAGGTGAGCGGAAAGAAGCCTGCTCAGCCTGGCTTTCTCCCCTCCCTTTGCATCCTCCCTCTCTTCACTGGCGCTGAAAGAGGGCTGGTAAATCCAGGGCAGGGCCTGATACTGCTGCTGATTTGATGGTGATGTTAGTTTGACCTCGCAATGGTCAGGGATTGATGGTAGACTCTCCTCCTGCCACTGAAGATACCCAGCAGGCTTAGGGCTTGCCAAACGCTGCAAGTACAATGCACACAATCAAGTAGGCCTCTGTGAAGGTGAAGCTATTCTGTGGGTAATGCTCTGGATTTATACAGTACTTTTCCTAGTAGTTTGAAAACCAAGCATGCCAATGAAAGCTGGGAAAGGTTGAGTCCACGAGACATAGAGCTGTGCAGGTCACGGGTGACCTGTCTGTTGTCTTGAACAGCCTGCCCATTGAGTCAGAGGATGACTAGGATGCTTTTAAAGATGCTGTGTATTTAAGGTTCAGGTTAGGACCGAATTGTTTACTGAAAATATTCAGGA